GGAATATTCCATGGATAATTTAGGAATATTCTAGGGATAATTTAGGAATATTCCATGGATAATTTAGGAATATTCTTGTGATAATTTAGGAATATTCTAAGGATAATTTAGGAATATTCTATGGATAATTTAAGAATATTCTATGGATAATTTAGGAATATTCCATGGATAATTTAGGAACATTCTGGGAATAATTTAGGTATATTCTAAGGATAATTTAGGAATATTCTAGGGATAATTTAGGAATATTCTAGGGACATTTAAGGGATATTTTAGGAATTTTTTAGGGACATTTGAAAAATATTCTAGAGATATTTTAGAAATAATTTTAGGAATATTCCAGGAATAATTTAGCAATATTCTAGGGATAATTTAGGAATATTTTAGGAATATTCTAGTGATATTCTAGTGATATTATAGGAATATTTTAGGAATATTATAGTGATATTTTAGGGATATTATAGGAATATTTAAAGAATCTTTTTGGGATATTTTAGGGATATTTTTGGGACATTTTAGGAATATTTTAGGGATATTTTAGGAATATTTTAGGGATATTTCAGGAATATTCTAGAACTATTTTAGAAATATTTTATGAATATTTTCTAGATATTATAGAGAAATAAAGATATTAAAAGATGAACATATTTCCCGAGTTTTTTTGTTACCTTCTTATGATCTTATTCTTCAAGATAAAAACTGAAAATTCCCTCCCTAGAGAGAACAGATTACGTCCGAGATTTCCAGAATTTTATTAGCGCAAACAAGAATTGTGTGTGTATGTAGCGCAAACAAGAATTGTGTGTGTATGTAGCGCAAACAAGAATTGTGTGTGTTTATGTAGCGTAAACAAGAAGTGTTTGTTTATGTTGCGCAAACAAGAAGTATTTGATTCTATAGCGCAAACAAGAAGTGTTTGTTTATGTAGCGCAAACAAGAATTGTGTGTTTATGTAGCGCAAACTAGAAGTGTTTGTTTATGTAGCGTAAACAAGAACTGTTTGTTTATGTAGTGCAAACAAGAACTGTTTGTTTATGTAGTGCAAACAAGAACTGTTTGTTTATGTAGCGCAATCAAGAACTGTTTGTTTGTGTAGCGTAAACAAGAACTGTTTGTTTATGTAGCGTAAACAAGAAGTGGTTGAACTATGTTTACGTAAGATTTAAAAGCATTTTTAAAATTAATGAAAGTCTTTTTTCGTCTTTAGGCTAAAAGCAAATGCAAATAACAAATTTTTCAAAAAATTATTCAAATTATTTTTTTAACTTAATTTTTTGTGTTATGTTACATTATATTAGAATATTTGTTTTTACGGTTTTTTAAGCTATCTTTTTCTTCTTTTATAAGGCCGAGCATAAGTGTACATAGTAAATTCTAAAAAAAAGTCTTTTTTGCTTGTTTTTTTATAACTTAAAATAACAAAATTTCTCTAAAATATTTTTATGAATGTTTATTTCTGTTTTATATTTTTATTGTACAAACAGATTTATTTAAAGAGTTTTGCTTCTTTTCTTTCTTTTCTTTTATATAAGTTTTCCATCATACAAACTAAACAAAAGTCTTGTTTATAGATAGAGAAGATGGAGAGTGAGGGAAAAAATGCAATATGGAAGATGGGAAGTGAGAAAAAAAATGCGTTAAGGAAAAATAAAAGTGAGGGGGAAAATGCATTAGGGAGGATGGGAAGTGATGGGGTGAATACAGGAGGGATTGGTAATGCATACATGCGCGCAAGAAGTAGAAAGTAGAGGAAAGAATGTGCTTGAGGAAAAATGGGAAGTGAGGAAAAGAATGCATAAAGGAAGTAGGGGAAGTAAAAGAGAGAAAACATATGAGGAAAGGTGGGAAGAGAAGGAAAGAATGCATGAAGGATGGGGGAAGGGAAGGAAGTTAAAAAGACAGGAGGAGAGGAAGGAAGATAAATAATGAAAGGTAAAGAATGGAAGGAAAAGAACTCATGACAGTACCATTTATTTTCAATTTTCTATCTAGAAAGGAGATAATAAAAAATATTTTTAAGTTTTAGATAAAAAGAAAACAGCTCCATCGTTTTGTTTTCATGAATTAATGAAGGATATAAATCGGGTGAGTAACTCAAAAATGGAGGTTCATTTAAATTAACGTGGACGATCCTTTAAAACTTAAAGTTTAGTTTGTTATCCTTCCATATATCCTTGATAAATGTGGCTGAAATGATTCCCTATCTAAAATCCTATCTCAGGAAATGGACCATTAGCTGGAACCAAGCAAGGGTAGGGATAAGCAAACCAATTGTTTTTTGCTTTAAAATTCCAAAATAAGCTGATCTGAAAAACAAAAAAGTTTATTGCTCGTTTTTTTAATTTGAAACAAGCATTTCAGTGGTATGAAAAATAGAAAAAAAAATTTTTTGGCAAAAAAGTAATTGAAACTATGAACATTATTTTTTTCTTATCAAAAACTCGTTCATGGTTTTAGGCAAAACTGTAATAAATATTGTTACCATTTAAAAATGCTTGAAGTTGAGAGAAATATAAAGCCTAGGACTCTATTTACACATGAAAAAAGAACATAAAATGGTTGATACTAATGAATCCAAGAAAGCCGGAGCCTCTTATCAGCCTTTAACATCTTCTTCCGCCATGATATGTCAGGTTATCCTTCCTCCTTTCGATTCTTCATGACGACTAACATTTCGGTTTTAGCCCAGGCCAATCCTATGTCCTCCTTGCTCGGGGTTCATATCAATTGGTTTGAATTCGAATTCGAACTAGGATTCCGGCTTAACAGTGGTATTGGTTTCCCATGCGCTCAAACATGTGTTCTAAGCATCTTTTCTGGGCTGGCATTTTTTAACGGACAAATATCTCTACACCTTATACCAAGGCGACTTATCATCCGCCCCACTTTCTGTCTGACCTATAGCTATATACCAAGAGCTACTAAGCTGCCATGCTTGTAGGTCGGACTACTTGCAATCCGTGCTTAGCTCCGGTTCCATGTGAGGACTGAAGGGGTTGCATCAATAGAACTATCCGATCTGAGCTTAGGTCCGGGTCTGTATTAGAACTGAAGGGGTTACATCAATGGAACTATTCTTATTCTGAGCTATTAAGCTCATATTGGTTACCATATCAAATTCATTTATTTTTTACAAAAATTATCATAAATCTCTAAATACACAGCATTTCAGATATCCTGGCTTATAGGCTGCAATAAGCCTTCAATTTCGTAACATTTCTTTAATTCTTTATATAGCTAGTATTTTGGTTGGCTATAAGGCTCATCACTCTTTTGAACCACTGATCAAAACAGACATAAAGCTTAGAGCTCGGTTTAATAGCGTAGTTAGACAGGCAATGTGGATAAAATTAATCTTTTATGCAGTAGTCCTCCATCTTTTTAAATAGAAATTGTGGTTGTGAATAGCTCCCATCTTTGTGTTGAGTTGTTATATAGTTCTTATATTATCCAGCCCATTAAACCGCAAGTGCACTTTGTGCAACGCCCATTTCCCGTCAAATGTAAAATGTCAAATTGCCATTATTCTCAATTCTAATCTACAGAATTCAAAATATTCTAGTTTTAAAATTCCGCTTAACTTTTTCATGACGTACAGAGACTGGAAATATCATTTTTTCGAAAATAAGACAAAAATACATTTAAAGATGCCAGAACCAGATTTAATGAATTAGTGAGAGAAGTTTTTGTTTATGTAGCGCAAACAAAAAGTGTTTGATTATGTCGCGCAGACAAAAAGAATTTGTGTATGTAACGCAAACAAGAAGTGTTTGTTTATATAGCGCAAACAAGAACTGTTTTTTTAAATATAGCACAAAAAAGAACTGTGTGTTTATGTAGCGCAAACAAGAAGTATTTGTTTATATAGCGCAAACAAGAAGTATTTGTATATGTAACGCAAACAAGAAGTATTTGTTTATTTAGCGCAAACAATAAGTGTTTGTTTATGTAGCGCAAACAAGAATTGTGTGTGTATGTAGCGCAAACAAGAAGTGTTTGTTTATGTAGCGTAAACAAGAACTGTTTGTTTATGTAGCGCAAACAAGAAGTATTTGATTCTACAGCGCAAACAAGAATTGTGTGTGTATGTAGCGCAAACAAGAATTGTGTGTGTATGTAGCGCAAACAAGAATTGTGTGTGTTCATTCACGAGAGAATTAAAACAAAAATATTACACCTTCATGCGTGTTGAAACTAATTTATATTGTTAACTTTGAAACATTTTTTACGGTTTTATTTTTTAGTTGACCAAATACAGGGTGTCCCACATCATATTAGAGAGTTATAGCTCAAATTTTTGATTTAGGAACTAAGCAGAAAATTTAAAAACAATGAATAATTTTTTAAAAAAGTTTTTGTAGAGAATACTAGGTTTTTCCCGTAATATGTACGTATTTTTGCGTTAAAGCTTGGAGATAATCTAATATGATATGAGACACTCTGTATATAAAAAAGCACAAAAATTGTTTTAAAATCGGAAAATCATCTGGACTCCGTTTTCAGGAGTCAGGTATAGCATTGCTTTTTTGACTGCTTTGGCTTCATTTTTGCCAGAGGGTATTTCACCGGTATTGCCTTTATTAGGTTCATCTTTGACCAATGTGTTCTTAATCTAAACATAGGAAAATTGTCGAAAACGTTAACAATACATTTAACCAATTTGGATTAAACAACCAAAAATAGCAATCTTGAATATTTTTTTAAACAGTTTTCTATTCGGAAAAAGTTAAAATTAAATTTAGAGGCTGTGTAGTTCCTTTTGTTTGATTTTTTTGTGTGCGCCGTAAATTTCAAATATGGTTATTTTGGGATTAAAAAAATATTCCAGGGCAAATTTAAAAGTGGGGGACCATATTTCCTGCCCACTATACATTTGGATGTTAAAATACCTTTTTACAATTTATTTTTTGGTGGGAGTTATAAAAAAATTTTCAATTAATACCACCCCCCCCCCTTGGAAAATATCAGACACCGCCCTTGATTATAAAATTAAAAATCATTTATAAAAGTGTGAACAAGATATTTCCTATGAAGCCCAGGAAGAATCCAACTGCAAGCATAGCAAAAGGAATAACAAGATGTTCGAGGTTTAACTTTTCCTGAAAGAAAAATTTTTTGATGAAGACAATAAAAATTTGATAAAGTTAGTATTGAGCATCCGACATTTGTGCTTCGTTTTTTAAACATTTACACGGAGGGTTTTGCTTTTGACAGACTGAAAGTACAAACTCGAAATAATACAAGTTACAGAACCAAAATAATTGTGGATTAAAAGGACGGCCTCGACATTTCAGTAATCTTTTATGTTTTCAATGTTGTTTAAAAGCAAATACAGTTTAACTAGTAGTCTAAATACATGTATACAATGCAAAATTTTTGTCTTCCATGTGGACCTTAAAATATCAAACTTGAGTTTAACAGTTGTCTTTCTATTCCACAGGTATATGGGTCCCCCTGTATAGTCCTTGGCGTTATTTATTTGCTTTTAATATAATAATGCTCCTTGGAAGCTACAAAAAATTTTACACAATTGTTGAACTAATTTGTTAAATAATGAATTTTTAACAATATTGGTAAGCAACCAAAAGTTAAAATTAACTAAAAGAAACTGAGTTTTTGCCACAAGCTCTTATTTTCTAATCCTAATATCTCTGCAATCCAATGTTGTAGACTTAGATATTTCAAACTATAAATTCTGTGAGATCAAATAATCAAAGTTTTAAATATCAAAGGTTTACAAGATTAGGTTGCGAAGATATAGGAATGAGAAAATTTGAGTTTGTGGTAAAGACCCAATTCCTTTTTAATCAATATTATTTACCGTATCTGAAATCCCCTCAAAATAGAGAGTTTTTGATAAAGAATTCCAAACCTTCTGCTCTAAACCAGCCTATGTATATAAATATGTTCTTGAAGGGAGTAGACATTTTTTAGGTTTTATAGAGGTACATGTCTAACTATCAACGGTACCCTCTTTAAATCTTTGTTGTTGGAGCTTAAAACTGATTATTTACAATTTCGGATTTTCGCAGAAGAGAAAAGAAGGAATTTAAAACTATGCTGCACATATAAAAAACAAAGATAGGTTTCTATAAATGAAGGTTCAGACATGCAACTTTATGGATGAAGGGTCACTGAAGGTGTGCCTTGTAATATTTTTTCGTTTGTAATTCGCATTCACCGAAAAAAGTACAAAAGAGAAAAAGTGAAAAAATCTTTGTTTAACTGGTCAAATTGTGTTTTATTTTTACCTGTTTGCAGATTAGAATGTGCATATTCAAATCCTTTTCCCATTTAGATTGTTTCTGAACAACCATACTACCATAGTAGGATCCTATTGGTTCCTGAATATTCTTATAGTGTAAATATAAATGATAAAAACAGGATTGTTAGAAAGTCAACTTTATATAAACAATTCGTAAATAAACATGAAGATATATCAACATGGCGAGGTTTGTGTTTCCACATTTTGCAGATTTGGGACAAATTGTTTAATTTTTTTCAAATCGTTTCTAAAACCGATCATTTCGTTTTCGGAAAAAACGATCGTTTTTAAAAAACGACCCACTCGTTAAGAACTTTTAGAAAACAAAAACAAAAACGATCTTTTTAATAAAACAATTTGCGACCGTTTTTTATACGAAATTGTTTTTAAAAAACGATCGCTTTTTTTAAAAACTATCGTTTTGAAAATTAAAATTTTATTTACAATGATGTTAACGATCGTAACGAAGAGTTGTCGTTAACGATCGTTAACGAAACAACGATTTTGATAAAACGATTTTTAAAAAAAAACGATCGTTTAAAAACGATCGTTTTGTTTTCGATTTTTCGCTGTCGTTTTCATAACGAAACGAGCGTTTTTCAAAATAATTTAAACGTAAACAAATATGGATCTACAAAGTTAAAAATAACATTCAATGTCGAATTAAAAAAATGTAAATGTATTGTCGGGTCACGTGCATGAGAGACATTTTACATAATTTCCATTCAGTAAGTAATTAGGTAATTTATTTCAGATATCACGATAATAAATAAATTCATGAAGAGAAGATATTTAAAATAAAAAATCTCCAAAAACGATTTACTGATGAAGAATATGTTAGATACTCGAGATTTTCTCTATGTAGATATCATGAGAATTAAGCACTTAACGTCGAAATCTTTCACATTATTCATCAGATTAAGCTTTCAAGGTTACCGAAAAAATCGGAAATATTCCTCTTTAATTGAAGGGTCCCTTGAAATTACAGAGACAATCCCTTTAATAATTTCACCTTTGCTATATAGAAGGCCGGAGTTGATCGTTTTGAGAATGCAGGAATAAGCTGAATCAGAAATAAAGAAACATCCTAAAGAAATAGTTGTTGTTTAAAAAAAAAGTAATCATGAAAAATTAAATATGGGTATTGCTTAAATCAGAATTGAAGTGTGCATACGAAAAATGTAACAAAAATCAACAATAAACTAATTTATTGTTTAGGAACAGGGTGAGGAAATAAAAATGTGCACCGCAATAAAGTCTGATAGATGTTAAATAAGTCCTTCACATTTATCTACAATACTGCATTCTCAGCTCAACTACCATGTCTACTGTCTATAGCCACATGACACTCCCTTTAAACCATTAAAAATATAAAAATTTCAAGGTTATTTGACCACCTTTGTTATAATCAAAACTTCTCCATTCCCCTTCATTATTCCCATCATAATCTCATTCAATGGTTCCTCCTGAAAAGGAAGAAATAACATTTTTAAACCTTTTTTTGAACATGATCTATAAAATTGAAAATTAGAAAGTTTAGAGATTATGCTAATTGATAACTTATTCTTTCAAAATGTATCATGTCAAACTGAAAAAAAGTTCCGAATGGTATTACTGCGATGTGATCCGTTGCTTCTTATTATCACATCTTTACATTTACATAAAATGGAATTTGTGTTTACAACTACAAGATCAAGACATGATGTTCAGAATAGCTCCCATCTGCAAATTCTTTTAGCATGATCCGAAACGATACAAGAATTTGCCAGTCTAGATATTACTTACTTAATACAAATTGTTTTGTACCAGACCGTCTGGTGAGCCCGTTGTTTAGTGGACCCAGCGCGTTTTTGCTGGGTACACTGGGTACACATCATTATTTTTGTATCTTCAATTATCATTAATGACAGTCTGTTCTTGTCTTAGACTTTCTTTTTTTGGGAAATGAGATTGCTCTCTGAAAGGGACTGTAAGCTTAATAATTTCAAGTGACCATCCATGAAAAAATGTCAATGCCTGATATACAAAGGTACCCTTGAAAGCTTTGTCTGCTCGATTTGTTCTTTCTTTAAACTTTTCATTTTAATTTGCAGTGTCTCTATAAAAAAAACTTTTTTAAAGAAAGACTGGAGAAATTCGCAGAAATAAACACTTTTTGAATCAGGGAAACGACGGTATCTTCCGCATGTTTTGATCTAATTAAGGTGTTTGTGAAAGTTATCTTTTAAAATCTGGCACTGCCATCACATTCACAGCATGAAGGGTCACCTGAAATTACACTTTTACTTCTGTAATACTAGTGATAGTTTTTAAATCTGGCACTGCTGCCATCACAGCTTGAAGGGTCACTTAAAATTACACTTTTAGTTCTTGTAATACTAGTGATAGTTTTTATAGTTTACCAATGGATTAAAATATCTAAAATTCTCCATTTTCCTTTGCCATGGATCTCTTGATGACTTCAGGGTTTCATAGTACTGTGCAGAACTCATCAGAAGAACAACCTTGGATATTAAATTGTACAATGTACATCACAATATAGTGACAGAGAACAGATCTATTTGTATATATCCACGACTTGGAAATCTATATTTGAAGTTCAATTTGATATTGCTGATTTCATTTTTTCTTTGAAATGTGTCGAATTGGATTTAAATTTTCAGATTAAACTCTAGGAGATAACAGGAGATAACAGGAGATAACAGGAGATAACAGGAGATAACAGGAGATAACAGGAGATAACAGGAGATAACAGGAGATAACAGGAGATAACAGGAGATAACAGGAGATAACAGGAGATAACAGGAGATAACAGGAGATAACAGGAGATAACAGGAGATAACAGGAGATAACAGGAGATAACAGGAGATAACAGGAGATAACAGGAGATAACAGGAGATAACAGGAGATAACAGGAGATAACAGGAGATAACAGGAGATAACAGGAGATAACAGGAGATAACAGGAGATAACAGGANACATTCAATTCAGTCTTATTCACGATACATTCAATTCAGTCTTATTCACGATATATTCAATTCAGTCTTATTCACGATATATTCAATTCAGTCTTATTCACGATATATTCAATTCAGTCTTATTCACGATACATTCAATTCAGTCTTATTTCTTTAATAATTTCTTGTGGCATATATAAAGTTTGCATTAAAAGAATATTTAATTATAAATTGAAAGAAAAAAATTCAAATAAATATATGGATACCCTATTTTCTTCATATATTTGTTGGGCAGTCTCCAGTGGATTATCATAGGATGGTTGTAGAAGGATAGCTCTAAACTCAGTTTTGTCAATTAGCATTAGGACATTATTTTTTAACAATTTTTATAGTTAAATATTTAGACAACAACTTTTATTTGAAATATTTTGTTTATCTCTGCACTACTAATTTAATCAATTCATGTTAGAAATATTTTTGTTTGGCTTTTCTTAAACAATTCTTTAAGTAAATCAAAGTCTAAATCAAGAAAGAGAAACATTTTTAATAATTTATTTTAGCAAATAATGCAGTCTTAAGTAACTTTTGGTCTTGACTGGAGTGATTTTTAGAACTCTCACCTAAGAATTAGCAGGGTGCGCTTAGTGGTATAGTGAATGAACAACTTCATAAAAACTGTATATTAACCTTAAATTACATGAGAATGCATTGGTAAGAAAAGCAGCTCCTATCCCCCAGCTCAAGAGCAGAATACTTACAGAGTAAACTGAGAACATTCAATTTAAAGGGACTGTAAACATAATTTTAGGTAACTCTTTATTTTTGGAGAGAAATATCCGATTTATGAATGAATCACAGTCTCACAGACTACACATACTCATACACTCCACCTGGATAGGCTGAGCAGGCCTATAGTGTCCCGGCACGCCATGCTACGGCTCCATGTAATGTTTTTTGACTGACATCTCACGGCCATTTGTTGCATTCAGTTTTACAACTTTTACAGAAATACTCCAATTTTAATCATAAAATATAACGTTTATGAATATTGTCTATTTTTAAAGATTTTGCATTTCCTATTTAAAGGATCCTTAAATATCTCTGAATACAGATGTCTCCTGATTGGTCGTGTACAGTACTTGTACACAATAGAACATGTTGTGGAAAATATCGCATATTATAGATGTTAATCGATCTCTGTAACTCTCTTATCCATGGAATGAATGAAAAACCTTGATTGTCTCGATGCCAAATTTTTTAAATGAGTTTTCTCCATATAATTGTGACTTTCGCATTTATGCTGCGAAAACAAGAGAGGACATTGTTAGAACTGAATACTTTTTCAGATAGAAAAATGACGATATTTTCCACATCATTCTTCCAAAACCCTTTTTCAGCCTTAAAAGTAGTTAAAATGTTCACAAAATGTAAATTTAACAGTACAATACAATAATTGTTGTACTGTATAACAAAGTACAGCTTCGCAGTATCGCAGTTTATCAGTATTCCGGCTCACTATCTATTCCTCTATTTTATATTTTTAGTTTATATTCAGAAAATTTAAAAAGTCGTCTTAAGATTTAACCAATTTTTAATTATCTCAATTAATACAGTTTCACTTGGCAAGATACGCAATTTTTGAAATTAGAACGAAATATAATGAAATGTTTTCTTAAATTCATTTATTTCGATCAATATATATATTATATATTGATATTGATATATATATTATATACTGATAATTTTCATAATTCATTGAATATAAAAATTAGGGAATTTTTTACTAACTCTTGTTTTAAGTTCATTAAACTACAAATATTGGTTTTATTAACTTCTGTAGCTATTTTTAGTTTATATTTTACGTCAAATTAATAAAAATCATTATTGATCATAATTCTGTAATATTAAAGTGATAACCAGAATACTCTGGAATAGGAAGACGACTTTTAGAATCAAGTTGTGACTTTAAAGGTCCAATGAGCCTAAGACACAGCAATTATGCAGTATAAACACATTTCACTAAATTAGTGATTTAATAAGTGTCTAGTTAAAGTATTTGCTTTGCAGCAACTCAAATACAATTATATATTGCTATATTGTCATTTTCCTATTCCATTGTTTTCTAGTTATCATTGCTTGCTTTACAAATAATCATAATTAGTAATTGATTTATTATCTTTTATTATCATTATATTAATTATAATTAATTATAATTAATCAATTATCATCATTTTTATTATGTTCACCTCTTTTATTCTTGCTTAAAAACCACTCTGGCATTCCTTCTGCATTTATTAACATCAGCGGCATGAGCATAATAATCACATAATCATGCTAAAAAAAATTGATTATTGAAAAAAGGGCCTTAAACGAAAATTTCAAGTCTTCATTCATAAAGTAGCATGACTGGTATCCCTTTAAACTTTTGTCTTGCTAAGGCTGGATGAAGGATGAAATATCTTTTTATGTTTCACTTTACATAAAAGTGATATTTCACCTGCAGAAGTGTTACCCTTTGCACTTGATAATAAAATTTTTCTTAAACAACAATAAGTTTCATGTGAAAAATTAGAGCCTTAGCGAAAAAAGACAAATGACCCCCTACCCTCCCCCCCCCAGGCTTACTAAGGGTTCTAAACTATTAAAATTGTGTAAAAATGTGCAAAAACTAAAGAAATCGAGTCTTTGCCAAAAAATCCCTATCCATATCTTTGCAACCCAAAGTTGTACACCTTCATATTTCAAACTATGATTTCAGTGTGATCAAATAGTCTAAGGTTTCCACCATCAAGTTTCACAGATATTGGGATTAGCAAATTTGAGTTTGTGGCAAAGGCTCAATTTCCTTAAGTAATGCACTCTACCTAACAAAATTTGTTGGAGCGCCGGAGCCAAATTCAACCGAGTAGCTCGATTCTTCAGGTGTTGATGAATGATAAATTTAGTCAAGGATTTAATGCAAGGAAAGTTATTTCTGAGGTGTACGCATCTTTTGTACTGCAGTGTACTGTCTCTACTGGCGGTAATGTAAACACAAGACGGATGTCGAAACCTGACATGGGATCCATCTTTCACATAAATAATCAATGAAATATTCTAGTCATAGGAAACTATTATGTGAATTATCAAAATTATCAAAATTAAATGCTTTTAACCTCATGGGATACTAAACGAACACTGATGCATCTATTCTTGATTACAAATTCCACCAAGAGAGAACTGATTTCAATATGTACGCAGAGTATACGCAACTGCAATTAACTTTCCTTACATTATAACCTTGAATTTATCTAACAAAATTTGACGAATGACGGAATTAAAGTGCTCCAACAAGTTGTGTTGTATGAAAACTTTACATTTCTTATATTCAAGTACAAGTACAAGTTTACTTGTGGATTACCCATATATTGTACAACTACAAGTTTACCTGTGGATTACCCATATAGTTTCCAAGAAAGCTCATTCCTGCTAGAATGATACCGGTAGCTATGGTACTGAAGATCATGTATTAAAGAAACTTTATGAATATTTTCAATTGACCCTCCATGCAAAAAATGGCAATGTCCGAAACGCAATGATACCCTTGAAACCTATATTTATCAAAAAGATTGAGAACACTGTCGATTTTCTGACTTAAAAGTGTTTAACTTTAATAGTTCCTCCATTGCTTCTTATAAGCAAGAAATGCGCAAGTTCCTTTCGCAGAGAAACCGCAAATGAAATTAAATAATAATGGATATCTAATTTATATTTAATCAGACTTAGCTTGTAAAGGGTACCGGTTGTAAAATCAGACAGTGCCATCTTTGCATATACCTTTGGTCATATATATATATTTTATAAAACTTGGAACACTATGGTTTCCATTTGCAATATGCTCATTGATAGAACAAAACTTAATCTGTAGCTGGAAAAATTACAAGGTGTCCCCACGAAACATGACAGTTGGTGATAGTTTTGAATGTCTTCTTCCATATACTGTATTAGATATAGACTTATAGCAGTTAATTCAGTTTGAAAAATCTTTTACTCAAATATAATTTACTTTGAAATCAAATTTACCATAACTAGAAATTCAAGGCGCTTCGCGCCCTTCTTTCTAGCCTTAGAGGGCGCTTCGCGCCCATCTTCTAAATTAATTGTAAACATGTTCTCTTTGTGTTCATACCACAGGACATGCGACTGTTTTGTGGATTTGGACATCTGGAGGCTTAGACATTAGCAGCATTTGTTGCTAGAGTAGGCATCTGCGGCAGTATGAGTTAGTAGTTCCTGATCGGAGGTGTTCTCAAAGTTCTAAAGCTAACTGACGCTGTTCTCCACGAGTAGAGGCGGTGAAGGGGGGGGACATGAGGAGACACATTTTGAGCGGATATATTTTTATGTATTGTAAATCTTGCGCGGTCAACTGCGCTACACATTGGTAATCGTCTTCGTGTTTTCTTGAATTTGTTACATGTTGTCGGATAGGAACAAGATTCTTAACGAAAATCCAGAACCGTTGTTGAGGTCGTCCTCTATTGTCACTAGCCTCAGGGTTTTCCCGAGTAGCTTCAGCTTGACCTCAGTGGTGAGGATAACTCTTGCTTTCCCCGAGTAGGTAAGCACCTTCATCTTGTACGAGGGTCCCAGGGAGTACATGTATTGAGGTATTGTCGAAAGAGCTGACCTGGAGATGAGGCTGAGTTGACAGCCGGTGTCATACTGGATTCCTATCTTCGTCCCGCCCAGGTTCAAGGTTTCGACCAAGGGAACAGACTGGTTGGCGCTGACCTTGGGGATCGTGACAAAGTGGGCCTGGTTGTTGTGCATGCAAGCCCTTTTGTTCACAGGGACTCCATGCTGCAAGCATCCCTTGGTACACACTCTAGAGGTTCCGTTCGTGAGAGTAAGCTTACACTTAAAACTACTGCCGTGAGCCTGAGTGCAGGTGAAACAGAGGTTATTGTCAAAGATCAACTTGAGGATCTCAGGTGAGCTCAGTCTACCAGATCCACAGTATTTGCTGAGGGAAAAGTGATTGGCTTCAAACCCAATTATTGTACACATGGCGCAGGGTTTAGGAGGACGGAATCTCTGTGGGTCAGAAGAATTCGGAGGCCGCGGTTTAGGCTTAGAGGTTCCCTGTCTGACCACTTTGACCCCTATGTTTGAGAGAGCAAGGTCGAGGTCATAGTGATAAGGAGTGGATCGATAATTCTTCTCTAATTCTTCCACGAACTGTGCGAGGAACCTAAAGGTAGTTGGAGGTCGGACATTGGCTGGACATTGTTTACGGAACTTGGAGAACTGATCGTTGAAGGATGGTCTCATCTCCGACGGCAGGCTCTTCATAATGTTTTGCACCAGAGGCTGGGTGAGGGCAACGCTGTGAAGATCTTCCTCGTCCTGAAAGGTCTGCATAATCTCCAGGTTGGCTTGCAGGGTCTTGATTTTGGGGGGAGAGATCTTCAGCGACCTCCTGGACGGACTCGTAATGAGGGAGGAGGTTGAATGTTTGATTGACGTCTCTCCCGAAAATATCTATACTCCCGAATTCTTCTATCAGTTTGACCTTGAAGGTGGGCCAGTCAATGATGTTGTTGAACAGTCCTCGTTTGGCAAGGGGGATGGCGTTCTGAGTGAGAGCCACTTTAACATTATCTTCAGCTTGAGTCAGGTTGAACCCGTTCAGGATGGTTGACAACCAGGGGTAGAAATCTGCAGACTTGCCACTCCAGGCTGGTGTATCAAGCTTGGGAGGTTTGAAACTGGCGCGAGGTTGTTGAATGGGGTTGGGGAGGGGTCAGCAGTGGTGGTGGAGTGGGAGTTGATGATGTCATTTGCGGTTTGGTAACAGGCCTCGAGGTCGGAGCGATCGTACATGAAGAACTCCAGGTTGGAGTTCAATAGGAGAAGGTATTGATTGGATAAGGCCTTTAGAGCGTGAATTCGGTTCTCCTTGATTTCAGTTTTAAAAGCATTGGTGAGGANTCATTGGTTCCCATTTCCTCGGTTAGGTCGCGAACATGGTTGGTGGGTGTAGGGCATATTATGCAATCTTGCATTCTGCAAGGATTGTTTCTTGTACATCTTTGAGCTTCCTGATGAGGGGTTTCAGGAGGAAGGTCGCGCGGATCCTCGTGGAGAGGAGTAGTTGGGTTCATCTTAAGGCTTTCTTGAAACTACGACAGGTCTGTAGATCGAAATGTTGTCGGATAGGAACAAGATTCTTAACGATGAACAACGTAGACAACGGAATAACCCTCCAATCAAAATCGATAATGCAGAAAACTCTTTATTTCCTAAAAAATGAAATGTATAATGATAAATAATTATTACAAAGGTTTACAAACTTTATAAGGAAAAGATTCTTACAATCTAATTGGTGATCTGTAGGTTAAAACTGTCGGAAAGTCCTAAGACGTTATTTTATACATTAAAACTTCTGAAAGAAACGACAATTAAAATTAACGAAAGTCACTAATTCTTTGTATGAAAATATTTTTGTTTAACTTTAATCATTTCAAAATAACAAAATGGATGAAGTTCCGTGGGACAGAGTACAAAGAGAATGCGGGCTGAAATTATTTGGTTTGGCCTTTCTCCGAGAGGAGATTTTAAGTTGAAGATGACATTACATGGATGGGCGGGGGGTCTTATAGTTAATGGTTGACAAAAATACATTTGTCAATACAATGAAGACGACCTTTCTATTAATGTTTTGATTGTTAACAAGCTTTCTTCGAATTACACGTTTACAAATAATTAAAGAGAAGCTTTTTAAATTGACAGGTATGTGAATCCAGTCTATAAGCTGTTTGAAAGCTTGATATAAATTAAAACTTAAATCGAAAGTCGTCTTCATTGTATTAATATATGCTACAAAGACTGTATAAATTCCCAACTCAAAAAATTTCTGAAAAATTGTTCAGAAATCTTCTAAACTTACCCTAATCCAACAGCCCACCATAAAGCCACATCAAATACCTTTATATAATATTTTATAAAATATGTATTTTATTGTGAGTTTGTATACGTAATATTTATGAATCTTTATAACGTAATTTAAACAAAAATCATATATATATATATTTAAATAAAAGATGCACAAATTAATGAATTACCTTCACAATGTTATATGCGGGTGAAGTTTTTTCTGGATACTAAAAAAATACTAAATTACTATTCAATTCAAACAAAAATTTTAGAAAAAAATGGAAAATTAATACGAAAATTTAAATAATAATAATATTTGAACCCTTGCATAATTAGTTAATAACAAAATTTAATATAACCTTAACACTAATCGCCCCCCTCTAGTTTTTTTTACACAACTAGAAATCTTTAGGCTTTTCAGAATTATGAAATAGTAATTTAAAGGATGCCCCTCCCCCAGCCTTTATAGGGTTAAAAATGACAATAACTTTTGAAATTCAGTTTAAATTTCTAGTTAAAATGTTTTAACCTTAGACACCCAGTTTAACGTAGCTTCTCCTAACGCTGTAGTAAAAGTAGTTACAGCAGCCCTAAACAGTAATAATGTTTACAAAAATTATTTATAATTAATTGTCTTCCGATGATATGTTCTTTAGCCAAAAAGTTCTATTTATAAAATATCCTGACTATAAAAAGCTCTGTTCGCATAATGTTTATGAAATGTCTAATCTATGAAATGTCTAATCTATGAAATGTCTAATCTATGAAATGTCTAATCTATGAAATGTCTAATCTATGAAATGTCTAATCTATGAAATGTCTCGTCTATGAAATATCTAATCTTTAAACTGTTTCATCTATGAAATGTCTAATCTATGAAATGTCTCATCTATGAAATATCTAATCTTTAAAATGTTTCATCCAAGAAATTTCTAATCTCTGAAATGTCTGATCTTCGTAAAAAACTGTGTCTATGAGATTGTAACATATAGAAACGTTCTACCCATTATAGTAACGTAACTTTTGTGTGGAATATTGTTAATCTTGAAAGCTTTATATCGATATCCATGTGAACACTTTTAAATTTGAGGATAAAGGCTTAATTCCTAGATTAAAGTTATGAGAGTATAATCACCACGAGATATCAAAAAGGAATTAAACTAATACATACTTTGAAACTCCAGTTCATTTCAAGTACCAAGCCGAGTTTTAAGCAGCTAGAGCAGACTGTACAGGCTATATACGGCAAAAACCGGACGGTACACCAAATGAATCAGTCCCATGTAGAGAGATTATAGTGCATAGGTCTTCAGGAGATGGAGATAAATGCTTAATCCTAAGATTCACAACATAAAAAATCAAACTTTTGTACCTTTCTCTTAACCCTATCCCTGCTGGGGTACTTAAAAACCAGGATATGCTGGGGGTCCCATGTTTTGTGTCCAAATATGACAAATGATACATCATTAGAAAGCTCTTGTGCTCTACTTTTAGAATCTGCAAAAAAATTTGCAGATTTGCAAAAATTGAATTTTTTATCGCAAAATCCAGTTATATAGTAAAAATGTTTGCAAAAGAAAATTTGTCCAAAAAATGAAAAATTATACATTTTTGAAAAGCCCTTGACCATGCCATTTCAAATATGCAAAATTTTGCAAAATTTTAAATAACCTGATTTTTAATCAAGAAAAACTAAAAATGTGCAAATTTCCTTTGACAGGTTGTTTGCAAAAAATTTGCAATTTTTTTCCGCAAAACTTGTGCAATCCGTTTCCTTATGTCATAGGCTTTCCAAAAAGCTAAATTTTATCAAAATCTGACAAGTGAAAGTGGGTCAAAACAAAGATTTAGTTTGTTATAGGCAAAAGCAGTCATTCAGGCAGTGTGCCTGAGGACTCAGGCAGTTAGTATTAAAGCCCGGTTTTAGGCCTAAAGGGAGGGCTTTGGGTATGTAAGAAAAGTCAGAAAATTTCAACAGCCTCAGACCAACACTTTTTGAGTTATGTAAAAAAAAACTACAGGGGGAATCAAATTGACCCCCCCCCCCCCAGCAGGAATAGGGTTAAGTATCGTGGTACAAGTCACTTTATTTTCCCTAAAAGGACCTGATTCATTTGGCGTACTCTCCCTTTTGGCCTCTGTATGTGTACTGTACAGCTTGCCCTGCTCCCCTAACAGTTGGCCTGGCACTTGAAATGAACCGAATTTTATCGTAAAGTACCGGGCTGACTTTTAAGCAACTAGAGCTGACTACTTTATAGTAAACATACAGACTATATAGGGTAAAACGGGACAGGACACCAAATGAATCAGCCCCTTTTAGGGAGATTCAAACCACAAAAGACTTCTGTACCTTTCTCTTGAGTATCCGAGATAGCCGACACCAAAATCTGCTTCATCATAGATAACCTTTTAATCAATAAAAAGAGTAATGTTGGTCGTCTTCGAACTTTCTTTTGATTAAAACTAATGCCAAGGTTTTTTCAATTATTAACTGGCACAGCTCTGAAAATGTCCGAACTGTTAAAGGGAATGTACGCGTAATTTCAAGTGAACCTCAATGAAAAGATGGCAAAGCTCAATTCACAACCGTACCCTCAAAAGCTTGGTCTGTTCAATGTCAATGTTTAAAATTTAAAGGTGATTATTTTCTTTTGTGGTTTCTCTACAAAAGTTGCTTGTGCTTTTCTTCTGAAAGAAAAATATAGGAATTATCTTAATTAAATATTTTTAAACCAATAAACGATAATATCCTCCACATTGTGAATTGGGCATTTTTCACGGAGGGACATTTGAAATTAGAAATTAGTCCCTTTAAGTTGTCAGTTTTGCTTTTCCTCTTATTACAAATACAACACTGTAATGAGCAGACGGAATGAAATTATTGTCGTCTGACAATAATTTCATTTTTTTTAGAGATGAGTCAGGGTTCAAGATTATACAAATTTATTTTTATTCATATATAATATTTTAGGATGATTTTTTTTAATTCCTCCAAGTTATTGTTTTTGTAAGTTTATTTATTAATGTGATTATTACCCACCTTTCCAAATAGTCCGTTCCAGATTCCAGTTTTTGGATTTTCATTACCCCAAACCCCGAGCATATTCATAAATTTAGGCTTCAGCTTCCTCTTTTCTTAATAAAATATTTTATAAGAAAAAAATTTTGTTTGTAATATTCAATAAATACTGTTGGAATCCCAAAAATAATTTTACGCACAATTTAACCCAAGTCAAAATAAAATAAAGATATAAATCTTAAATGTTTTTAATCAAAACATCTCCACGTTGAACTGAATTTCTATTATGTAACTAACGTTGAAATCTGTTCATGTTTATGCCTAACTAAAACTTTCTAAGCTTTTAGGGCGCTTCGCGCCCATCTTTTATTTAAATTGTGAACGTGTTCTTTTTGTTTACATTGTAAAACAAAGAAGAAAAAAGTTTTGCGCATTTAAAAAAAAAAATTCACGGATTTTCAAGAATTTAATTTTTTTTTACAAAATTAAAAACCTTTAAAACACATTTTTTAAAATTTTTATCATTCATTAACCTTCCCTGTGGTCACGTGATGTTCACAAAAAATTTGGTCCAGACAGACAAGCCAAATTTATATATAGATTTTACCTATATATGTTCCTATCAGTATTCCCTCTAATGTGTCATCATCACATTTATCATTTTTCACAAAAAAACGAGGTTTTACATTGTTATACGCGATCCTAAATAAATGTGTTAAAGGGTATAGAGTGGTAGATCCGATTCACAACGGAAACCTTTAAATCATTGTTTGGTCTGAACTTATTTTTCTAACTTAATATTGATTTCTTTTTTAATGGGGGTTCTCTATATGTAACAGATTTATGCCAGAGAGAAAAAATGGTCAGAATTTAACACTTTTTCAGATTAAAGTATAACGACGACAGCCTACTCAAGGATGTCCATATGAAAGTTTAATGCAATTGTACCGTTGTGGGTCGGACATGCCATTCTATAAAAGATTACTCAAAATAACGTTTACAGTTAAAAAAAAAAAAACTGGTTTGAATTGAACGTAATACCTTACAGCTCTGTCATTCATAGATTGAATTTGGGCCAAAGCATTTTGTTTCTCAAAAACAACTTTCGAAAAATATTTAGACCATGCTCCCAGAATCAGCTCTCCGTGTATACTCCTAAAAATTATTTTAGTCTTAGATATTTGCAATTGTACGGACATTTATGAATACAATTTTTTTTAATTTGAAATTTTTGTATAATTTAATCTATAAGCATAAACCTGTATTTGAATTGTAGCGACTCTTTTGTTATTTGTAGAATCGGAGTTCCATCTTAAAAATTTATAGTTATAAATCAGTGGAAAAATAAAATCATTAATGTTCACGTCTCATTATCATATCTTTTGAACGTCAACCCTCCCCGCCTATATGGATTATTAAGGCCGAATTACCATGTAAGTAAAATTCAACATTTTTTGTTTGTTTTGTGGGTAACCCTGTATACCTGCAGGAAGATGTTCATTCTTCTGATTTACAACAATAATCAGTGTCGGCTTTAATCCATTTATCTTAATAGAGGAGATTCCATCCATCTTTGCCGAATTAAAGTTTTAATTATCAGTGAGGAAAAAATTATTGGATATAGGCCATATAGACATAGTTGAACTACTTCTAGACATAGTTGAACTAGATGCAGATAGTTAAACTACTTCTCGACATAGTTGAACTAGATGCAGATAGTTGAACTAGATGCAGATAGTTGAACTAGATGCAGATAGTTGAACTAGATGCAGATAGTTAAACTACTTCTAGATATAGTTGAACTAGATGCAGATAGTTGAACTACTTCTAGACATAGTTGAACTAGATGCAGATAGTTGAACTACTTCTAGACATAGTTGAACTAAATGCAGATAGTTGAACTACTACTAGACATAGTTGAACTAAATGCAGATAGTTGAACTACTTCTAGACATAGTTGAACTAGATGCAGAGAGCTAAACTACTTCTAACCCATACTTGTAACGTGTGACTGTGACCAAAAGTGCACTGAAGAAGGAGCTAAACTAGTCAAAATAATTTTTCAAAAAAAAAATCGTAAAAATTTCTTTAAAAGAAAAAGCCTTAAAACAACCTTAGCCCCCCCCACCTTATGCAACTTTTAAAATGGAAAAAAACTTTAACAATTTTGGGTATTTGTCTGTTTACTTGCTAATTTGCCATTAAAAATGTAGGGGGGAATCTATAATTCTAATTAAAATTAAACTTTATCTTCCTGATGTGTGAAAACGTAGAAACATGAAGATTCCAGTTTTATATTAATCTTTAAGCAGATATTGTTTCATTGGTTTTCAAAATTTCAAAATAATCTAGTAGGTCTAAAGATTTACTTATTTTATTATTTTTGCGTTTATATTACAGTTAGTATTTTTTTCACTTTTTCACTTATGACTTGTAGACTATTTGCAAATATAATAAAAGTGAGCTTTAGAACATAAATAAAGTTCTGAAAAGTACAATTTTTCAACCTGTTTTTAGTTCAAAAATAGATTCATTCGTTTTCATATATTTATCTACTATTCCTTTGTAAGGTCATTTAAATTATCAAATACTACTTTTGGATTGTCAGTCCCTGCAAGTGTTGAGTACCTGTAAAAAAATTTTAAACACTAAAATGAGATTTCCTAAATGTAAAAAAGTAAAGTATAATAACAGAAATAATGATATATATTAAAGGTTTCTACTTGTACTTACCCAGTATAGATTTCTAGGCAATTTTTCGTATTTCTTTTCAGAAAAAAATTATCTATTTTTTATATATTTTTTCTAGCAAAGTTAAGGGACTGTTGACGTAATTCTAAGTGAGCCTCCATTTTAAGATGGGCAACCCGAATTACAACGGTTCCCTTGAAATCTTAATTAGACAAAACATTCTCAAATAAAAGAAAACCATTTTCAAACGGAAAAACATTAAAAATTAAGGAACTGAACACTTGGTACAAATTTTTCCAAATTATAAATCTTTGCAACCTAATATAGACCTTTGACCTTTAACGTATGAATTCTTCTTGTACAAATAGTTCAAGCTTGAAATGTAGAAAATTATATCTTGAGGCAAAAGTGCTCAGTTTCTTAAGAATAAGATAAAGCTAAACTAAATCGTTTAAACATTTTCTGTTCTGTCAATTTTAAAAGTTTCTAACTCAGAAAAAAATATATATACTTCTATCTCATCATAATTTTTGTCCTGATAAATGATATGATCAGTTGATCAACATAAAGAAGTCCAGATGATGAATTTGATGATGATAATGATGATGATATTGAAATGACAGAGAAGAATAATATTGCTGTCCGCTTGAAGCTCCTTAAACGCATTTTTCTGTTCTTGAAGATAAAATTTAATCTTAAAACGTTGATTAAAACGTTTCCATTTTCCTTTACTAACCAAATGTACGTTAAATAGGAATCGAAATAAAATTCTAATTTTAATTTTATGACATCTGAAGAACAAAAAAATTAAATGTTTATTTTCAGGTTTTCATCTAGAAAGAAACATCTTCGTTTGTGAAAATAAAGTTCACCACAGTTTCCGGGAGGAAATTAAACTATACTTAGGTGAAAACTATTTTTAGAGGGATACCCCCTAAAATTGCATTACACTTTTATGTAAACAAAAAAAAGAATTTGATTGGAACTAAGGAATGTAATAATTTTGGTCATTTTCTGTAGGACTGAAGAGGATATAAAATATATCGAAATTAATTTCCAAACCCGAGTTTTTCTACCTTTGAGAGTAAAACCTTTTTTTTGCCAGTTTGAACAATTTACACGGAACTAAGGAAATTGTGTAAAGATAGATTTTTTTCAGCGGCATTTAGAAAAATTACGCAAAATATTATTTCTGTTGAAAATGTGTAACCCCTGCAGGCCCATTTTACTGAAAAGATAAATTTTCAAGCTGCTGGTAAAACAATCTTTTAAAAAAAGACACATAATATTTCTTCTTTATATTCCCTTGATTCCATGATTTTCTGACTACAACTGTATATTATGTATTTATGCAATACAGACCATTCTATTTTTGCCGGGATTTTTTCTTAATTTAGTTTGTTTGAGGTTCAAATTCAAGCCTTAAAGGATTCCCAAATTATACACAAGGCAGTTGCTTATATAATTTTATTTCTTTTTTAACATAAAAAACGCGAAGAAAAAAACTCTAAAATCCGCAAAATTTTGTAAAAAATCTAGAATTTGTCAGTGATAATTGAACTGGCAGTTAGCTTCACTGATTCTAAGGCGTTTATACAGATCAAGGAAGATTTATCAGTTAGCTTCACTGATTCTAAGGCGTTGATACAGATCAAGGAAGATTTATCAGTCTGATTCTAAGGCGTTTAAACAGATCAAGGAAGATTTATCAGTTAGCTTCACTGATTCTAAGGCGTTGATACAGATCAAGGAAGATTTATCAGTTAGCTTCACTGATTCTAAGGCGTTTAAACAGATCAAGGAAGATTTATCAGTTAGCTTCACTGATTCTAAGGTGTTGATACAGATCAAGGAAGATTTATCAGTTAGCTTTACTGATTCTAAGGCGTTCATACAGATCAAGGAAGGCAGCCTAAAAAACTATCTGAGGCCTTCAATCAACTCAGAGACTTTATTGAAGATCAGCTGGAGTCCAGATCACCAATTGAACATTATTAGTTATTACAATTTGTTCGACATTTTAGAGAGGAGAAAGGAATGGCTTCATCTTTGGACAATCTACAGTATGACCAACTCTGTTCCAAAGGGAAAATATTCATTTAATCTTAAACAGTACTGCAGAGTAACAATTATTCTGAAAAGCTTTGATAAAATAAAATAAAAGTTTAATGTGTTCAGCACCAGTACCATCTAGCAGTTTTTGTTGGATGCTGATTCTCCTACTCCTTATTGGGTTGTTAGAAAGACAATTGTTTGTTTGGCTTATTTATGGTGGACTAAGGCTTACAGAAATGATGGATATTTAGATAGAATTGTGTGAGAGCACATCTGAGGGAATCTATGTGACACATTCAAGGGCCAAGCAAAGAAGTGATAAACAATCCAGTAGGTGTCTGGTCCCTAGGACCGACGATAGTCTCAGTGCTAATATTGTTGACAAATAAATACATTAGAACCATTAAAGAGAAGGTCAGAAAATTTACTGTTAAAGAGGTTGCTGTCTGTTGTAGATAAGGAGAAGGAGATAACAACTGTAGAGTTGAACAGGGGGGGGGGGTGAGAGTGAGGAACTCTGGGATGAGTGTGGTGGGGAACCAGACTGTGGTTGTCACTCACCAACAATCTAGAGTCTCCAGCACCAGGAACATCAGAGAGATGTATCCCATAAAGATTGAGTCTGGAGGAAAAGTGTTTTATCTATCAAACTGTACTGAAAAGGCCACCTGTTACTGTTAGACTTTAAAAATTGATATTATGTATTTAGAAATAAATTTAAAAATGCTTGTTTTCAGTGTAAATCTTAGACATGCAATTTGAAAATCTTCTGGGATATCATTTCTCATAGTGTCCCAGGACAATTATGAGAAATAATATCCTTGAGATTTTCAAATTACAGGAAAATACACGGGATATTAATTCTCTCGAAATGGAATAAAATATTTATCTGCTGGGACCATGTTGGCTGCATAGCAGTTGTTTACTGAATGTGGATTTCTGAACAATGGCAGTGCAGTCAATACCTCAACTTTCCTTATTTACAAAACTTAATTAAATATTACAATGGTGGAGACAAATTCTCTAAATTCAAGTAAAGAGATAAATTCTGTCTATTTTCTTTCTTGTTTATTAATTATTAAAGTATGCATATCACTTTTTCATTTAGATTACGCCGATAGTCCCTTTAATTGTCACATGAAATGTAGCAAGTAGTGCAGTTATGAGATGCAATTTAAAATTAATTCTAATGAGAATATTTTTAATAAATCAATTTATTTGTCATATTGTTTGAAAGTAAGTTTCAACCATAGTTTAATAACAACACAGATAGAACACTAGATGTCTTTTTTAACTAGCTCTAGGTGATTTTCGTTCACAATAACCCTGAGGCAGAAGCCTAAAGGAGCTACGTAAGTGCTCTCTCTCTCTGTCTTTTAATTCAGCGCGGCATTGGCTTAACTCCTTTGGGCTTCTGCCTTTGGGTTATTCTGAACGAAAACCCTTAAACCTTGAAAAGACGACATATAGTTTTCTATCTGTATTTTAATTTATCTATGGTTTCAACAAACAAAAAGAAAGGTTAACACTAACTTTAATTAAAGGTTGCATTTATCGAGAAATTAAAAAATGGAACCAACTTTGGGTAAATACAAAATTTAATGTAGTGTAAACCCATCCAGAAATGTATATACGTTGGAGATTGTATTCTAGTTCATTCAACCCAAGCCAAGTTTTATCATGAGTTGAGAACTGGACAAACAAATAATAATGATTTAACCCGTTACTCTGCATCTGTTACCAACGGGGAGAGGAAATTTCCAGGGGGACGAGATTCAAACCCTGGTGACCCTTATCTGGGAAGCACGGATAACGGTGCTTTCGTCGGCAGAGAAAGCAAACTGAACGTCCATTTTGTGCCCCAGAAGAGAGTTAGTCTTGATGAAGTATTAGAGGAGAGCGGTCGATAACATCTCCAGTAGCTCCAGGAGGATAATTAGCTCCATCTATGATTCCAGGATTAACTTCGGTTGATCCTCAGTTTGTATTTTAATAATAATGTAAAATAAATGTACGTGCAAAGTTAGTGCTTTAATCGATTCAATCTGGCTTGTTATATTGAGTTTCTCTTTGCAAAGTTTCCTTTATTGAGTTCTTTATATTGAGTTTCTATTCAAGTTTATAGTAGACGGGAGAGGGGGGGACATTTGAATTATCATAAATTTTGAAACCTATTAGCCATTTAGCTAGGCAGTAAGCTTAAGTAGAGCTTCCAGATTAATATGAGGGGACATGAAATGAGAATTTGAAGAGCAGACCAAGTTATTCACCCCTGGACCAATATATTTGCTTTCAATTTATAGAAGCTAATTTTAATTTTTATGTTTCTGTATAGAATTTTTCAAAACAATTTAATAGAATTACAATGCGAGAACAAACTTCTTCAATGTTGACTTGAAAGCTAAAAAGGGATCAAAATAAAGTCTCAAATAAAACAAATTTGATAAAAGAAATGTAAAACTCATATTTTTTACATTTTGTGTTGACTGAACAATTTTGAAACACTTACAGTAAAAAAATTTTTTTTCTTTAGGTTGAAAAAATTTGTAAATAAAGAAAGCAAAAAATTCGTATTTCTTATTCTGCAAACTACGTCGAAGATACTTAAGTCTTGACTAGAACTCAACCGTTCGTTCAACCGCTACCTCTGAATTTTGTTCTCCAAAGTATATGTCTTTGGATTTTATAACGATCTTGTATTAGGCCTTTTCTTCTTTTTAATTACAGAAGAAATTACAATATTGAAATTTTGACATAAAAGCTAAAGAAGGCTTTAGAAAAAAACTCAAAAGTAAAATGAATTTTAATTGAACAATTTTAAAAGAATTACAGTGAAAAGGTTTTTTTTATTTTAAATGGAATCGACATATTGGCTTTCAATCTAGAAAAATTTATTTGAATTTTTCTGTTTCTGTATGTAGATATTTGAAAAGCTTTTTTTCCTAAATTAGAATAGGATTGTTTAAAACCTTTCAAGTTTCAATCTATGGAAGTTAATTTGAATTTTTACATTTCTCTTTGTAAATAGAATAGATTTTTTTCTAAACCTAGCTAATTCGTTTTGAAGTTTTCCTTATTTTAAATTACATTAGAAATTACAATAGAGGAATTAAATTTTCTATCAATGATTAAACCAAAAGTTTTAAGTAAAATGTATTTAAAAACAAATAAATGAAATAAATACATACAAAATTTTTAAGTATTAAAATAGTGAAAAGTTACTATTTTGTTTTCAACCTAATATAACCAATATACATGCTTAATCTGCGGAATTTAAAGTTAATTCGAACTTTTTTTCTGTTTATATAATTAAATGCCATTATTTATGAAGTTAATTCAATTCTCCTCTAAGTATACTTTTTCGTTTAAGGGACTGTAGCACTTTAAGCTAAAGAAAATTGCACGTATTCACGGTGGACTAAGCCAGTTGGGTCGGTCAAATAGGCCTAGGATTAGGCCGGGTACTGTAAAAAGTCTGAACGCGCCATGGGAGTTGTCATAGTTAGCCCTCGCAAGGGACTATGCCAAGAAAATTGACCCCTGTCGTATTTTAGAATAACATAACTCCACTAATTAAAGAGGTTCTTATATTTAAACTGATACATCTGATTTTCTCAAAATTATGAGTAAATTCAGAACTAGAGGAGATCCGAGATCACAAAGTCGTAGCAGTGATGTCGCATAGATTTTACTTTCTCTTTTTGCTTAGTTGACAGTGGTAGAGTGTTTGTAATTCAGTATGTTTTTTTAAAAAAAAGAATTTTTTATGTCCAATTCTTTAAAAGGTTTTAAATACCCCTCCTTGAATAATCTTTTTGTTTGTTTATCTTCTTGTGATTTTTACATTTTTTTATTTTTTTTATCGATTTTGATGGTTATTATATCGTTAGAACTGACGAGGGTCAACCCAGACCGAAATATATTTTCAATAAATGTGGAACTAACATCTACTTTTTTACTACAGAGGTTTGGTCCATCACCATCACTGAATTTTAAATGATATTGGTTCACTTAACCATCAATTTATGGACTAGCATGTCCGATTTATATAATGGTTACCTTTAAAGCTTTACCAGAACCAAAATGAATGAGTTATCACTATTCTTCTTTCTACAAATTTGTTTTTTTCTATTGTGTTTTTCTTTACAGTGCCTCGCGCATCTTTGCTTCAGAAACAAAATGTAGGAAATTGTCAGAATCAAACAATTTTCACGATAGCAAAACCACGATATCTTTTTTTTGTACAGATGAAGGTTTGAAGGGTACTGTTGTAAAGGCATTGAGTCTTTGCCACAAGCTCAAATTTTCTATTACCAATATCTTTGCAACCTAATGTTGTAAACCTTTGATATTTCAAACTATGAATTATGTTAGTTATTAAGTTTGAAATATTAAAGGTATACGACATTGGGTTGAAATGATATAGGGATTAGAAAATCTGAGTTTGTGGCAAAGACTCAATTCCTTTATGCTCTTCTTTAAATGAAGAATCTGTTGAGATTACTAAGAGGGTTTGAAAAGAATTTCTTTAGAAAATATTTTAATTCATTTATTCCTGTTCAGACAAAGCTGTTTCTGGTACCGTTGTGAATCAAACATGTCATTCTTTTTTAAATAGGGAATACCTCGAGAATATATCTTTAGTTCCTATTAGAAATGACAGATATATCACTAAAGATGAACTTTAAAAGGGTATATAAATCTAGATACGTATTTAATTTGCATTTGAACTAATTTGAAAATTGAAATATTAGTTGAGAGAGATTTAGAGATTTAGAAAAATAAGAATAAAAAAGAATAAGAATAAGAATACGATAAAGAAAAGCAAGAATCAAATTAAGAAGAGCAAGAATAAGATATAGAAGAAAAAGAATAAGATTTTAAAAAAAAACAAGAATAAGATTAAGAAGAACAAAAATAAGATTAAGAAGAATAAGAATAAGATATAGAAGAACAAGAATAAGATTAAGAAGAATAAGAATAAGATTTAGAAGAACAACAATAAAGATTAAAAAGAACAAGAATAAAATTAAGAAGAACGAGAATAAGATTAAGAAGAATAAGAATAAGATTTAGAAGAACAACAATAAAGATTAAAAAGAACAAGAATAAAATTAAGAAGAACGAGAATAAGATTAAGAAGAATAAGAATAAGATTTAGAAGAACAACAATAAGATTAAAAAGAACAAGAATAAGCTTAGGAAGAATACGAGTTATGTTAAGAAAAACAACAAGAATAAGATTAAGAAAAAAAATGAGATGAAGGAGAATAAGAATAAGATTAAGAAAAACAAGAATCAGATTAAGATGAATAAGAATAAGATTAATATGAACAAGAAAAAGATAAAGAAAATTAAGTATCAGATTCAGAAGAGCAAGAATTATGTTAAGAAGAGAATAAAAGAAATAGACCTGTTTTCTATCAAAATTGCTAGTTTAGAAGAACAAGAATAAGATTAAAATAACAAGATAGGAAAAAAAGGAAATAATAATTA